TGAAATAATTTCCCATTTACTGAACCAAGTGGGAAATAGCAAGGCAGGCACAAAGGGTTTGCACCAGGTCTGGGGACACAGGGGACACCGTCTTAAAGGGCCGTGTCCCCAACAAGTCTGGGGACACGGCCTTAAAGGGGCAGTGTCCCAATCTTCCTGATGTCCCAAAAAAGGTGTTTAAAGGGCCAGCACCAGTCACATAAAGAGTCCATAAGCCCCAATATGCCCACCGACAGTCTTAAAGGGCCATACACACCAAATAAAATTGCATACATTTTCACAATCTCCCAGGGGCCATAGTCATGCGGGAGGAGGCTGGCAAATAGGCTTCTCCACAACCCAGGGAAGCAGGGCAATTTGCCATTTAAAGGGCCCGTTACAAATAGCAGTTTGTAACAAGGTGTCAATCCATATCTGCCAAGTGACCCGATGTAGGGGGGCCAGTCCCTATTCTGCTCTGTGTCAGTGTGTATCAGGGATCCTTAGGACAGGTGTCAATCCATATCTGCCAAGTGACCTTATGTAGGGGGACCAGTCTCTATTCTGCTCTGTGTCCGTGTGCATCAGGGGCTCTGAGGACAGGTGTCAATCCATATGTCAAGGTGTCAACATGTCATATGTCAGGTGTCAATCCATATTCATTGTGATTTAGGAATGTTAGGTGATTTCTGCCCTTTATGGATTAAAACCAGACTCTGTATCAACTGTGTAATTTTCCATGGGAGTTTGCCATGGATCCCCCTCCGGCATGCCACAGTCCAGGTGTTAGTCCCTTTGAAACAACTTTTCCATCCCTATTGTGGCCAGAAAGAGTCCCTGTGTGTTTTAAAATTCGCCTCCCCGTTGAAGTCAATGGCGTTTCGGGCGGTTCGCCGGTTCGCGAACATTTGCGGAAGTTCGCGTTCGCCGTTCGCGAACCGAAAATTTCGGGTTCGCGACATCACTACCCAGCACTTTAACCAGCACACTTGATTGTGCAAGGTGGAGTAAGGTATATTAAATGTGTTGGCCCCCTAGGGTAGACTAAATGTGGGGTAGAGAGGGTAATCATTAGGCTGCATGAATAGGTGAGACATCCTAATATAATGCTGCAAGAAGTATGTGAGACCCAAGAAACTGTGGAAGCAAGAATAGTGGCTCAAACAACTAGATACGAAGTTAAAGTGACTAGTGCCCATCAAGTACCGCCTGCCTCACATTTGTGTTTAAAAACGATTGATCCAAAAGAAGGCGAAAAACCCAGTTTGAAGCACTGCCAATTCGCGACAAGCTGGGAAAAAATTCCTTCTTGACCCCATAATGGCAGTCAGATTATCCTTGAATCAAGCAATTATTGCCCTACATGTAAAGTTGGTGCTTGGTTCATAAGGACAGGCAACTAATAAGTCTGATAGTGATTGAAAATTTGATGCAGATGGGGAATCCGTAAGATGTGAAACCGGGGTACCGGAAATGTCTTGTGTAAGGTACTAATCTGGTATGCGGACATGAAAAACTGCGTATGAAAGGTAAACCCATGCAGCATGTGAAGTTGTAATCCGGATAGGTAGAGTTAGTGTAAGTTAGAGGTGGCAAAAAAATAAAAATAAAAACAACAAAAAACGAAAAACAACCGCAGAACAACAAATCAAAAGAGACAGCGACAGAAAAGGCACTCATGGAGAAGAAGGCCCTAACACATGTACCGAGAGCGCTAGTAGAAAGAGCCAGACGTGAAAGATGACGACCACGAACTAACAAGGCCGGCAGTCCACGAGCGGACGGCGAAACGCAGGTAATAGCAGTGGCTACGGGAGAGGCCGCGGGCAGAGCCAGGTGGAAAGCGTAGAGGAGGCACAGGAGAGATCGTACGAAAAATATGCAAGAAGTCAGGCATGGAACCAGCCCGGGCAGCAGACGCCAAGTGCCCAAGTTGCCATCCGGAAACACCCCATAGACAACAGTAGCGGAGAAGAGCGAAATCGGGGCCCCCTCCAGCAACAGCGTAACCCGTGGAGGCGGACAGACGTTGAGAGTACGGCTGTCCGAAAGGCTGCCGGGGAGGGAAAAGGTGGACTTGCGAGAACCGCAGCGAAGCAAGGAAGAGACCAGGACACGAAAGAAAAGACAGGAGTAGCCAAAACTGCACAGCGTGAAGAGGCAAAGAAACAGAGCATAAGCGACCCAATGTAAGGGTGTGTGAGCGTGTGCGTTGTGTGTGTGTGCGTGCGAGCGTGTGCTGGCATACTAGCTAATGCCAAAAGGCGAAAGAATTAAAAACTAGGTTTGGTGACAGGTAAGACCCTGCTAGATGCCAAGCGGCGATTGAGAGGCTCTATCTATGCGTTGGCCCGGGGGGATAATGTGGCCACTGAACATAGTGGCAGGGTGTTGGCCTCTCGGTGACAGTTAAACATAAGATAGAAAGGGAGTGACAGATGAGGCCCTCCCTATGCCACAGTGCGAGGCGACTAACTATGATTTGGCCCGAGGGGTGTAGTACCTCCGAGTATGAGGATGGGTGTTGGCCTCGCGGGACCACTAGCCTAAGGCGGAGAAGCCAGGGGGGAGTAAAACTTGTGGACACCTAGGACCCTGACAGCCAGCCACAGCTAACTAAGAGGGGAGAAAGGTAGAGTAAGAGAGGATGGAATAGATGAATGCGTATGGAAAATGTGAGGTGAACGGGGAAGTACCGCAGGGCCGACCGCAACGGAAGTGCAGAGTAAGCACGTGTAGAATATTGGATATTCTATGTTTCTATTGATTATATATATATATGGATGTGTGGATTGACATAAGTAACAGATGGTATCAATAAGTCACAAGGCTTTCTTTGTCCGAGAGCTCTGGAATGTGGATGTGGGGGTTTTGTCCTTATTTGGCTAGAGTTAAACGCTGACTTTAGTATTAGCACTTCTATATAGTAACAGAGGGACACGAGGTCTCTCTCTTGGCTTGGCTCTTGGCTCTGTACAACGATGTAACTCTCCCATCAGAAGTACAGCAATTACCATCTGCTGTTGAATGTCCATTATCCTGTAACATCATTTGTTGTTTTATCTATCCGTAACAAAGAATAAACCTGAAGAAACCTTAAGTCAGATTGCGTATTACTACTTTTCAATAATATAGTCATATATTATTGTGGCGAGCATTTGGCCCAAGACTATATATACAAAAGACGTGTATATATCAAACAATTGAATACAAGAAGAAATTAAGAAGATTCTACATTATTACCGTTACAAATTAAATTTTACAGCACGACAGAGAGCAGGTGGTCCTGCCGCATGGAGTAAGCCCAGCAAAAGGCAATGGCAATATGAGTTGACACAAAGCCCACGGGACCCAGTATGTGTGGGTTCGAGTGTGTACGTGTGTTTGCGTGCTGGCATACTAGCTAAAGCCAAAAGGCGAAACAATTAAGACTAGGTTTGGTGACAGGTGAGGCCCTGCTAGATGCCAAGCGGCGTGAGAGACTCTATCTGTGAGTTGGCGCGAGGGGATAAACGTGGCCACGGAACGTTGTGGCGGGGTGTTGGCCTCTCGGTGACAGTTAAACATAAGATAGAATGGGAGTGACAGGTGAGGCCCTCCCTATGCCACAGTGCGAGGCGACTAACTATGATTTGGCCCGAGGGGCGTAGTACCTCCGAGTATGAGGATGGGTGTTGGCCTCGCGGGACCACTAAGCTAAGGCGAAGAAGCCAGAGGGAATTTACAACTAGTGGACACCTAAGACCCTGACAGCCAGCCTCAGCTAACTTAGGATGTACCATGGGATGAAAAAAACGGGTTTGCAGTAAGTATGAAAATGGCAAATCCGGTTGTGGTTGTTTAGTGAATATCCCCCATAGACCATAACAATTAGCGAGCCAGAAATCGCGAGTAGTGAAATTCCAAGATCGTGGAAATCAAAGCAAAGTTGTGTAACCGGTAAAGCACTTCCATGCCATAAACGTACATACTAGCCTAAAAAGCGTAGAGATCCGGATTGCAATCCGCACCAATGCAGCGAAAACGAACCCCATCCGCCAGAGAGTATGGAAAGCGAGGTATGTAAGGAAGCCCCAATCATGTGCAAGGACGCAAAAGTACACCGTTATAGGAGGCAACAGCATTATGCAGAGGGAACATAAGCGTATGCCGTTGTGTATCCCCCACCCGAGTACCTCCCAACTAAAATCTACAAACTCCCAGCACCATGGATTATATTGCACTACTGGGGGGATGAATAAATGAACACAAAGATAAAGCACCGCGCTTACAGCAGCAGTGCCTTAGTATCCAACAGCTTAAAATACATAGTAAAAACAAAGAAAAACATTACCTGCGCTCTGGCCTAGATCCCCATGTGCATTTGAACAAAAATGGAGGCTCTTTAGTTCTATTCTAAATGGCCATTTGAATATATAAGCTCACCAGCCACGTCAAGGCAAGCCTCAATAGGTGAGTTCCTACACTAGCCATTAGATAAGCTGATATCAGCCAAGAGTCTCCAATAAGACAGGAAGGGGTATTTTATAAACCCTTTAACATTTAACCCTTTATAGGGCTTCTGCACATACAATAAACTTTGCTGATATCAGACAAAGTGAGACAGAAAGGGGTGTTTTATAAACCCTTTAACATTTAACCCTTTATAGGGCTTCTACACATTCAATAAACGTTGCTGGTATGTTATAGCCCTATTCAGGGTAAAGTATGTAGGGGTTTATAAAACACCCTTTCATGTCTCATTAGAGACGTCTATACTTTGTCTGATACCAGCAAAGTTTATTGAATGTGTAGAAGCCCTATAAAGGGTTAAATGTTAAAGGGTTTATAAAACACCTCTTTCTGTCTCACTTTGTCTGATATCAGCAAAGTTTATTGTATGTGCAGAAGCCCTATAAAGGGTTAAATGTTAAAGGGTTTATAAAATACCCCTTCCTGTCTTATTGGAGACTCTTGGCTGATATCAGCATATCTAATGGCTAGTGTAGGAACTCACCTATTGAGGCTTGCCTTGACGTGGCTGGTGAGCTTATATATTCAAATGGCCATTTAGAATAGAACTAAAGAGCCTCCATTTTTGTTCAAATGCACATGGGGATGAATAAATGACACTCACTATGTTTGTACTAAAACCTAACAATAATCAAGGGACCTGCCCACTAATATAGGTATAGCCACACATGTCACTATATGCATAGGCACATATATAAAAACAAATAGGAGAATAAGGGTGCAATTCACCACTACATGTGGAAGGGGCTTCCCAGAACAGTTATCCCCTGTACATCAATCCCTGCTGCTGCAGAACCTCTTGAACCACATACTGGTTAAATGTAATTTTTTTTTTTTTTTTTTCACTTCCAAGGGGTTGCATGTGTGTGCCATGTCTGCCCCCAGAATTACATGGGAAGATACAGAAAAAACAAAACAGCACATGGATGAAAAAGTGGCCAAAACTAAACCTAAACAAAATATTACCCACAAAACCAAAAGTAACATACCGCAATGCACCGATAGAAAAACAACCGAGCAAACTCCTAGAGGTCTGTGGCTACCGAGCTACGCTAGAAGCCGGGGGGGCCGCGGACTAACGCCGTATGCCTCTCGTCAGAGCCAGTACCCTGCACAGCCGGCGTCCGAGTGCCCATCGCACGTGTGCTGCAATCGCGAGCTGCGGTTCGCGGGAAGCTCACACCTGGAAACCGGCGAACGCAAAAACCATGCGGAAGCAACGAAACCAGCAACAGGAAACGAAAAAGAAAATTCCCGAATGGGTAAGCGAGAGGAGGAAGGAATTTAAAACCGAAATTCGTGCGAAAAGGATTAGGGGGGGGAGGGGAGATACCCAAACCGTGGGACCGAGACCGCGGCGCGACGGCAGGGTAAGTAAGCCACAAAGCGGGAAAGACGGCAGGAGGGACCGCAGAAACCCGGAGTGCCAGGGACAACAAGAAGAGCACGAAAAACGGAGCCCAGGAGGACCGAGGACAAAAGAAAACAGCCAGCCCCAGGACATGCGAGTCGCTGAAAACTTACGGGACGGAGGAAGGTGAGTGGGGGGGTTTAAATAGGTACCATGCCCCTCCCACAACTGCAGGCCAAGCCTTAACATATATATATATTTAGATCCTGTCCATGATATTTCTATGCTCTAGCTTGACTCCTTCCATTAGTTCTCTCTGGTTTTAGTTGTTTTTTCTACGGCATTAGATTTCTGAGTATGCTAATACATCTTTGAGTGTATTCATCTTTATTTTATTATCTTCTGTGGTACCACATTTAAATTTGAGTGTTACAGCTTGTTACACATTAGTTTGTTGCGTTCAGAGTCCTGCTGCTTCTATGGCAGCAGTATCCTGAACACTGCTACTTGTAACATCTCTATATATACATTGTTATTTACCTGGAACTGTGTTGTTAGGAGATTGCTGATTACTTTTCAGTTTATTATCTTTTGTCACCTTATGTATTTTATCAATTAATTAGTCATCACTTATATTGTATTATTAAATATTATTTATTATTTGATAGACATCTCCTTATTTTTAGGTGCGCTCACACTATAGTTTTATTCTCTTTGTAATGGCACAAGTGAGCTAAAAGAAAATTTTTGAGACCTAAACGGGGACTAACCGAAGGGCAAGCTACTGAGTTTCTCGAAGCTTTTGCCCATCCTCAGAATTCCCATATTCTCTGTTTTTTGTTGAAATGCATTGACTTAAGCTCTCCCTAAATTCAAATGACAATCCAGATATGGACCGCATGCTTACTGTGCCTTGTAGGGTATCAGCTACACCTTGCTGACGAGGCTCAAAAATGGCCAAAATGATCATCTGGTGTTGCTGTGTCCCTCGTGCAGAGACAGATTGCTGGCATTTCAGTTTGGACTGTCTTTATTGGTGGGATCAGTCTGATATGCAAATTGTATAAATTATCTTTATAATGGCACAAGTGAGCAAAAACACTTTTGAGACCTGAGCAGTGACTAACTAAAGGGCATGCTACTGAGTTTCTCTAAACTTTTACTTCTTCTCAAAATTGTCATATTCTAGTGTTTTAAACCGTGTGGATTTGTTTTCCTAAAACCAAACTATGAGCATTTTTTCTTTTAGTTGCTTTGCAAAATTAATTTTGTATAGCTCCTAATGAAACATTTATAATGTCACGCATATCAAAGGTATTATGCCTGGGTATTACAATTTACTACTCTTCTTTAAAGACATTTATGAGCTGATTAATAAGGCACACTGATGACTGTCATATCTCATCACTCACTCTTTTGATTACAAATATTGTTATGAGGTCTCAGTTTGTTAACTGCTTTTGTTCCAATTTGATGTTACTTATCTCACAACCAATTTACTTTTTGTTCCAATTTTGTACTTTACTGGCTTTTTGTGTAATAATGGATATATTCATGTATGACTAGACATCTCCATTATGCTTAGCCAGATCAACCATAAGGTGAGTTTAACAATTCCCTTAAGACTCAGGAGTTAGACAGGGCCCTCTTCACCACCCCTGTATGAAGAATTAAGCTTTGAGGGATCTAAATCCTTCTTTGCCAATATGTTCTCAGTTTCTCAAATACAAACTTATCATTGGCTTACGGTAAAAATTGTACAGTTCTCTTGCTTGGATTTGGATTAATGTATTGGCAGCCATTTTTGCATGTCAGCACAGTTATAGTCCCCTTTTTACCATGCTGTTCGGAACTTTGAACTTAAACTGAAACGAACAGTGGCATGAACTAATTTCTATAAGCCCCCCCAAAATGTTTCTGCCAAATTGCTTTGGGTGAACCACATTTTTCACCCTGCACAAGTCTAAAAACACTGCAAAGCACTCGCACACTTGCTCAATACACAGTGGACTGAGCACACGCAAGAATAAATACATAAATAAAAACTAATTTTGTTTCTACAAACACTTAAAAATAAACTTGTTAAACTGTAAATTTGTCATTCCAAGTTAGTGTCAAGTAGCAGTGGCTAGCATTAGACACAGCACCATAGGTCAATGACATAGATCAATCTAATCTTTCTCACTCAAATGCCACCAGCAGACAGCAATTATACTTTTACATAGCAGAGCCAATAGTGGGGGGCGCAGTCCACCCGGGTACTCTGTAAATAGGTGGGTTGTGCATTGCTAGGCACCATCCCATAGGTAGATTCCGCCCGCCCCCTTTTGTTAGGACCTGCCCCACATGGTCAATGCTGGTTGGCAGAGGGACAGGGCCTAACAACAGGGGCAGGACATAAAACAGGGGGCAGGACATACCATTTGGGGTAGAGCTGCACACAATCTACAGAGCACCTGGGCGGTCCGCACCACCCCAGAATCGGCTTCGCTTCATAGGTAGATATGGCAGTACCTTAAACCTAGTCTCACACTAAGAACAATGACACAGGCAGTCTCCAATCACCAAGTCAAAGTTGTTTCCAGTGCCACTAGTAGTAGCTAGCTAGGTAGATATGGGAGTAAGCTAAACTTAGTCTTATACTAATATTAATGAACTCATATTCATTAATAATAATGGATTTTTGAACTCTCACACAGGCACGGCAAGGCTAAAACACATTATATCACTGCTGATCTCTCCTCCTTTTTTTCCCTCTCTTGATCAGTTGCCACTTGATCTGTGAATAAAACTACCATTATTTACTGGCTGTTCCCTAAGCATTAATCATCTTTTGTTTGGACAGGACATCCATTCTACACTATTGGGCTGATCTCCAACTAAGCTTTTTATTTGCCGTACCCCAAAAAAACTATTCTCTGTTTCATCCGCCTTTTTTGAGGTGCCAGCCATTGTGCTGCCTGGGACCAAGGATGAAATGCTGCCCCCACTCCAACAAAACCACACCAACCAAAACAAGTTGATTTTGGATGGATGCAAAGTGTTTGTGTAGTGGGTGCAGTGTCTGTGTGTTGCATTGTGTGTGTGTATAATGGATGGAGAGTGTGTGTATGGAAGTGGATGCAGCGTGTGGATAGTGGATGCAGACCATGTGTGTATAATAGATGCGATGCAATATGTGTGTGTATATAGTGGATGCAATATGTGTGTGTATATAGTGGATGCAGAGTGTATGTGTGTATAGTGTATGTAGTGTGTGTGTATGTATATAGTGGATGCAGAGTGCGTGTGTGTGTATATAGTATATATAGTGGATGTAAATGTGTGTGTGTGTGTATATAGTGGATGCAGTGTGTGTGTTTGTGTGTGTGTAGAGGATGCATGTGTGTGTATATAATGGATACAGTGTGTGTGCGCATATAGTGGATGCAGTGTTTGTATGTGTGTGAATAGTGGATGCAGCGTGTGTGTGTGTGCATGTAGATGATGCATGTGTGTGTATATAGTGGCTGTAGTGTGTATATAGTGAATGTAGTGTATGTGTGTGTATAGTGGATGCAGTGTGTGTATAGAGGATAGTGTGTGTGTGTTTATAGTGGATGCAGTGTGTGTGTGTGTGTGTGTGTAGTGGATGTAGTGTGTATATAGTGGATGTAGTGTGTGTGTGTATATACAGTGGATACAGGGTGTGTGCGTGTAGATGATGCATGTGTGTGGATATAGTGGATGTAGTTTGTATATAGTGGATGTAGTGGCTGTGTGTGTGTAAATAGGATGCAGTGTGTGTGTATAGAGGATGCAGTGTGTGTGTGTATAGAGGATGCAGTGTGTGTGTGTGTAGTGAATGCAGTATGTGTGTGTAGTGGATGTAGTGTGTATAGAGTGGCTGTAGTGTGTGTGTGTGTGTGTGTATAGTGGATGTAGTGTGTGTGCATATAGTGGATGTAGTGTGTGTGTGTGTGTGTGTGTGTGTTTATATAGTGGAGGCAGTGTGTGTGTGT